ACTATAAATTTTTTAAATCCTACAAATCACTTTGGACCCACAAAAAGTATCTTAGTTTACCCATTTAGTTTACTCCCACTAAAAATGCTCTAACATGTTTAAGTATTTAAACATCTAATAATTATTATAACTCATTTAAAACAGTCAAAAAGAAAATATTGAAAAATTGAAGTGTTATATTTGTGATCATTAATAAAATTCCATCCTTAAAATTTGGCTAACTTCGGTGTAAACAAATGAGGATATGCAATCCTTATATTGTCTTTGATCACTCACATAAATAACACTTTTATCTAATGGTCCTCAAAAATCTTTATTGTGAAATTGAAAAGTTCAATTACACCAAGTTATTGTTCATATCCGACAATAATATTAATTTTGTTGATAGTAAATATGTGTGGGATAAAGAATAATCACAACAAACTAAATGGTCTCAAGCAACAAAATAATCAAAAATTATTGTAAGAAAATTGATAACAAATTAGTAAGTGTATTAATTGTATTGAAGTAATAAAATTTATAAGTTTGTCTCCACATAATTGTTCTATTTTAACAAAGAGATTCGATCGTGTGCTATTGAAATTAGAGTTGGGTGTTTTTTTTAGTTTACTTGGTAAAATAAAAGCGTAAGTAAAATTGGTGGAAATTTTGACCAGATTAACACCGATTAGATCTTGTTTCGAATCCCTTGTATGTCACTGTCGATGTTGGTGTCTATTTACCCCTATGATGATTTGTCAGTGATTACAATAACTTATCCGCTATATCCAATTTCTTGGTGTATAAATCACTATTCTACATTACACACCTTAATTTCTTAAGTTAGTTGACTAGTTAAAACAAACAATATTTCAGTACGTTAAACCACAAGTCACAACTTATAATTTCTTATATGTAATCAATTAATAAGTTGAACAGATTAATTTAGTTCTTATTTATAGAGTTATAATCAATAATTACTACGCTTCTAGATCGATATACGTATTTGTAAACACATATAAATCAATGAATACAAAATTAAACTAAATAACGATACTGAATAAATCAAAGATGCAAATAGTACAAAGATCAAAACATATATACCAACAGGTTTATACAGATTCATCTAACAAGTTCTAATAAATAAATCTTATTTATTCATACTAATAAGAATCGTAACTAAAGTGATAGAGAAATAATACATGAATACCTGGTTAGAATTTGACTTCCGATGATAAAAACCTTCGCTCCAGAGTTTCCAAAAAAAATTTCGCCATCAAAATTAATCACCAAGAATGTCCACCACTTTTCCTATGTGTTTTATCTTTTATATTCAATTTGATACAATATAAAATACTTTTATATGCACATGGCAATTTATAACGTGCTACTTAATTGTAAAATGAACAATAATCATATAAATTCAATTATATTAAATAATCATATGAAAAAATAGACTTGTGAGATGGAGAAAGAAAAAAAAATCATATTTAAAAATAAAAAATGTGTTTCTCAAATAAAGACAATTCAACTATTTATCTATTAAATTCAATTATCATCAAACTACCTCAATTGTCATTTACTTTATATTAATTTACACTGTCAAATGGTTAAAAAAGTAAATGACTAATGTTTTAATTTTTTTCTAATATACTCTAGCACAAAGTGACACGTGACTTCGTTTCAATCATTTATTTTTAAACTTCAACTTTCTTCATCTTCATTCTCTTCTTTTAATTCAAATTTCAAATCTATTTCACAAATTTTGAGAAATAAAATATGGAGAACTCACATAGATTAGAAAAGTGGAAACTTAAGTATTTATAAGTGAGAGAAATCCACACATCTATCATCTTAAAGTTTTTGGTAAATATATAATATGTCACTCACAAAGTGTGTTACTCATAAAGAAAACTCCCAATGAAAAATGCTCTCACATGTTGAACCCCCGATTTAATGACCCAACAGTGTCATCAGAAGCATTTGGTTCGAGTTAAGGACCGACTTTCTTGTATCGAATGTACTCCTTATAAGTGGTAGGTAAGAGGTATCTCGTTGAGGGAGACGGTTAAAAATAACAAGTATGAGTTGGAAGATTTGAAAAAAAAAGTGTGGGGAAGTCACACACTAATTAGAAAAGTGGAGATTTGTTTATTTATAAGTGATAAAACTCGCACATATATTATAACACTCTAATTCTCCGACTCAACATTTAGTAAAATAGTTAAATTTTTAACTCAACACTTAGCGTGTCACGCATGTTTCACCAAACATAAAAATTAACAAAATATAATCATGTGAATTAAGCGGTGGAAACAATAAAGTTTAACATATAACATCTCAACAACAAATGAATAACAAAGTGGTTTAACAACTCCAATATGAATAAGATATGTAACAACAAAATATAGAACAATCTATCCTCGGTGTTATATATCATAGTGGCTCCACTAAAGACCTGAACGATAAATAACTAAAAAGGCCTCAACGTCGTCCTCTAGTTCAAGCAGCTACTCCTCTACCTGATTGTTCGTACTTCATATAAGCACATACACCACAATAATCAAGTAAGGGCGAGAGTGCGCTTAAATATATTAATGGTGCAAAACATAGCATGGATGACATATTCATCGCACGCTTATTCATAACTATAAACAATCATAATGATTACTCGATCACACATGCATGTGTGTAAATCTACCCACTACTCGACTTTACTTGCATGTGGTACTGATTTAAACATCAAAGATATGTTGTTGATTTTCGTCCATACTTGCTCGCGAACCTCTCTTCTGAACCAAAACCAACCATAATCGTCATTGATCACCACTACTAAATCAATAATGTTTCACTGATCCCATTACTCAAATTAGCTACTCGCTCTCTATCTCCACTTTTGAACCAGAGCTTACCACCGAACCAAAGTCCGTACACCATGACGCATGAACTCAATAACAACATGCAAATATGATAATTCATAATTGACCCCACATCTGGCCGTGTACATCGTCAATAAGTTCATCACCTCAACACAACAAATATGATATGCAAATATATTTAACAATACATAATCATACAATTATATCCACATTTCAAATGTTATTCAATTCTTCAGGATATTTTTTCACAATAATTAAACTCGTCAAACACATCAAAACGGCAAAAAAAACACCAGCCTTGCAAGAAAATAACATCAAAAGTTGATTTGACCGCTCAAAATCGGCCACTAACACTTCTGACGATCGGTTCGTAACCAAAGTGAGGACCGTCATCTCTCTGCTCACAAACCTGCCATCAGGGTGATGATCTGTAAAAAAAAATGGGTCTGGGGGTCATGACGGTCTCCCTGTCACCCAAACGACGACTGTTAGCTCATTCAGATCCGTGACAGGTAGCCCGTCAAGCTGGTGACGCTCGTCAACATTGTGCAGAAAACTAGAATGTGATTTCTGCCATGGGAGCTTAATCTAAGCTCTGATTTAACACCCCCCCCCCCCAATCACCCAAATCTACTAGAAAATGACAAATACGTGTTGTATTATAACTAAAACATCAAATATGCACTGATGAACATCTAATTGATCACCCAAATCTACTAGAAAATGACAAATATGTGTTGTACTATAACTAAAACATCAAATATGCACTGATGAACATCTAATTTAATCAATTAATCATGCGTATAAGATTATGTCCATGGGACCAAAAACAGATCAATGGCAACAACAACGTTCAAATTCGTGCATAGTTTCTAGCAATATACAAAGCATGAAATTATACATCAATTGCACGAATAATCATATAACATTTATACTTCTTCATCAAAAACTCATAACATCATTATGTATGAAAATCCTAATCCCTTCTTTTGATTTCCACCGTATAAAATGCATCGTTGATGTTACCTCTAATTCTCACATCGAAAACCTTTTTCAAACCTTTATTACCACATATTTATTCTATTTTTCTCTCAAATCTATAATTGCCTTTGATTTCATCCAATGTGTTAATATGTGAAGTTATCCTCTGAAAATAATATTTCTTCTGTTCCAAATTTTAACTCATTTTAAAATTTCAATACAACATTAATATTTTTTTTCTAAAATACCTTCTATCATTTATTATTCTAATTTTTTGTTATTCTTTTAATTTCACTTTCTGCGTCTCATAATAAATGTGTTATTTAAGTTGTGCGCGATTCTTAAAAAAATAATTAAATGTATTGATTTTAATAATAAAGTTTATATCTTTTGCTAAATTACTTTTATTTATTATAGTTAGTTGAATAATTAAAAAAAACATAAAAGTTAATGAATATAAATATAATAATGAAAAAAATAATAAATATTATATTAATATCTAAAGAAATATTTATTTTAAGACATGAAAAGATTTATGAGATGGAAAGAGTATAATTAATGAAAAGTAATTTTATATAGTTATAAATCATTTCACTTTTCATACAATATTACATTTCTTAATTTGAGTTGGAGAGTATAATCTTCAATTCAATACAACATTCAAAAAGGCAAAAAAATACTATAAGTATACAAACTATATATCTTTTTTCTTACAGCTCTATGTTCAAAGAAAAGCTCATCAAATGGCTCATAGGCTCATTTCTCTGCCTGCCCCTACCCATCTATGATCCTAATTCCCATGTCTCTGCGTCCTTTTCCCCACACTCTCAATTAAAAAAGACAAAATTTACCCTTTAACCAATATCACTGTTTCTCTAAAAAGAATCTTTTATCAATAGAAAAGTAAAAATAAAAATGAACTGGCCACCACTTCGTTAGTATCAGAAACTTCATTAAATTTATGACTTCAGATCAACACTTTCAGTAAATGAAGTTTCTTGTTTCACTTCAAGAGCTCCTTCAACTCAAACCCTATACACATCATATTCAACAAGGGCAACAATAACAAACGCTTCTTAAATGTTTTTCATTATTTATTTTATTTTATACGCACACGTGGCAATACGAGTATAATGTACGGCGTATATGCGAACTGAAACAATGGGGTGCACAGCTTCTAAGCTTGATAACGAGGAAACGGTACGGCGGTGCAAGGAGCGCCGCCGCTTCATGAAGGACGCAGTTTACGCTCGCCACTACCTAGCGGCAGCGCATTCTGAATACTGTAACTCACTTCGCCTCACCGGTTCCGCACTCTGTACATTCGCCGCCGGTGAACCTCTTGCCGTCTCCGATGATATCCCTGCCGTTTTTGTCAACGCACCTAAGCAGAACATGTATCATCCTCCACCTCCACCAATGCCTCCTCCTCCTGCAGTGACTGTAACAACCTCCAAACTCCCTAATGTTTCTGAAAGTCGTCACCGCAAACTGCCGCGGAAGCTTCCACACATTCTCTCTGAGTCTAGCGTTTGTTCCACGCCTAGAAGCGAGTTTCCAAACTGGTTCTTTCCAACAGCGCATCAAACTCTTTCCACAGCTTCGGAAACTTCATCTGTTTGGAATTGGGAGAATTTTCATCCACCTCCATCTCCACCAAGTTCGGAATACTTCCGGCAACGTTCTCAACCGCCGAACCACAATCCAGAATGTTCAAATTTCGAAGTTCCGGGATTCGATTCATCATCAGAATCCTTTCACAACACATTCCACTCGAAAGTTCATCTTCAGAATCTTGAAATTAAAACTACAAATGCTGATCCTCAAAATCAACAGCAACGGAACCTTTCAGATGCAGAAGATACCGCGAGCGAGAGATCCGAACCAGAACCAGATCGTTCAGAAACGGAACGTGAGGAGGTTCGGTGCAGTGATTGGGAGGGCTGTTACGGCTCAACAAGTTCATCGGATAGAGAGGAAGTAATCGCCGGATTGAGATCATCAGTGAAACCGGAGTCAGTTGCCGACGGCGATGTCCCGGCCAGAGAAGACAAGAAGAGCGGCGAGGAAGTTATTGAGGAAAAGGTTATGATGAAGCATAAGGATTTAAAAGAGATTGTAGATGTGATAAAAGAGAACTTTGAGAAAGCGGCGGTTGCCGGAGATAAGTTATCGGCGATGCTACAGATTAGCAGGGCACAACTCGATCGGAGTTTCAGTCAATTGAAAAGTAAGATTTTTATTTTGAGCGGGAAAAATTGAATATTTTTTATGAAAATATTAAAATTAGGTTTAATTGAAAAATGATGATTTTATGTTTAAAATGATAAAATGCAGGAATAGTGTATCACTCGAGTAATTTACTGAGCAGAGTAAACTCGAGTTGGACTTCAAAACCGCCATTGGCAGTTAAGTACCGGTTCGATGCCGGTTCGCTGGAAAGACCGGGCGGTCCGAAGAGTCTCTGCTCCACTTTGGACCGTCTTTTGGCTTGGGAAAACAAACTCTGTGAAGAAGTGAAGGTTAGTCTTTGTCATTATCACAAAATTAATTTATTTGATTTTTCGTATTTATTATTTAAATCAAAATATATTTTAATTTTTTGGGATGATGTAAAGGTTTTGTACTGAGTGGGGTGGGACTGATAAATCAATGGAGTAGCATCTTGACTTGGATTAGTTTTTTTGTTACTTTCGGTGCATCGTTTACTGTGTCCACAAACAATTCTTTTACTAGAAATTTTCATCATTTTACTCTTAAAATTATTACTTGTACTATGTAGTGTCAAGCTACGATGTGTTTGGCTATCTAAATGAATATTCAAATATGACAAACGTGATTTCATTATTGTGGTTCGGTTTCAAACTAATGGACTGGCAAATAATCATCCTATATTTTAAGTCCAAAACGTGAAGTATGAACCATTCTTTTCAAAATTTTCATTGTAAAAAAAAACTTTCAAAATTTTCAGTCACTAAGTACATAAATTTACTTTATGCATTTAAGTTAATAGAGTCTCATCTTCTTCCCTGATCAAATTTTTGAGTATTTTTTTTAATTATCTCTCGATAACTAGTTGTTGTTCGAGAATTTTCTCTTATTATTTTGAATTGTCAAATATCTATTTATTTAAGAGTGTCTTTAAAACTAATCTAAGTAGAATACAGTACAATTTAAAATGCTCTTAGAATTGTAGAATTTTAAGCAGTGCCGCAAAACGCCTTCAGTGCTCGACACAACCTGTAATTTCTTAAGTGACATATTCGTTTTCAAAACTTTTGAAATTTCAAAACAAAAATTCAATAGTAAAATATCTTAAATTTTTGGATTAAGATGTGATATTTCTCTTTTTATGACTGAATTGTTGTTACTCCCTACGCTCTTCAAATTTCCCAACAAGAATAGATTGGCGGGGTCCTTGGTGTTGGATTAAATATAGGATGCAGAGAGGTTTTAGATTTGATTATAAATGAGCTAAATCTTAATACTAATAATTATATTTTTCTCATACTAAGAATAATAACAATGTAGCAATAAAAATGCTTTTTGGTAATCTTTTGTAAATTAATCCGATGTCTTGTTATAGATGTGTTGTTATTGATCTGTTGTTATAAAATGAAACAACATATTGGCTTTTATAGCAACGCAAAATAATGAAAATGGCTATAATTTATAGAGAAACTTTATCGTTTTTTTATGTGTTTCCTTTAATTCTATTTACTAATTTTATTTGTTAATCTTTCATTTTCTCTCCACCTAAAGAGGAAAAATCCAACCCACTTCTCTAATTAAAGTCTTGAAGTACAAGTTTATACAAAGCATCATTCAATAACCCTTTATATACATGATTTTTCCTCTTCAGATGGAGAGAAAGCATTGACAAATAAAACTAATAAATAGAATTAAAAGAAATACATTTAAAAAATGAGAATCCTTATGCATAAACTATAATTGTTATTCAGTATTTTGCGTTGCTATAAAATCATTCTCTTGAGAGAAAAATACAAAAAGAGTTTAGTCTTTTATATAAGTGAGATTGCAATATATTTTTTTATTCTCATTGTAATATATTTACAAAGAAGAAATTTTTGTTGTTCCATTGTTATTATTCATAGAGTGAAAAAAAATATGATCCTACATAATCAATTATTTATTAGTTTTATATTAAATGCATTTTGATTGGTATATTTTTCAATAAGTGTTATTAGAGCTTTGACTCACCACGCATTTTAACTTCATTATTCACAATGAAGTCAGTTTCGACCACATCAACGACAATGTTTAAGTTAACTTATTCAAACTATTTCATTTAAAAACCTAGAATGGAAGACATATTCTATTATAAAGAATTGTGTGAACCTCTGCAAAATAAAGGGATGAAGTCAATCGACAAGTCTGATAATGATTGAAATTTGACGAAAAAGAAACTCGGTAATCAAATTCAACAATTGATAGCTCATAGAGTGTTTCACCACGTTGCGCAAGAAACCATTGTGTACACATTATGGTCATGTTAATTTGACATCACAAAATACATGTTAGGTCATGGACTCTGATACATCCTTACATGTAACATCACGAAGGAATTTCTTTTTTTCTATACAAGTAGTGATTTTGGTCATGTGAGAATGGGGAATGATACTATATCTTAGATTGTAAGAAAAGAAGTTGTTTTCCTAGGAAACAAACATTGGTTACCTAAGATTGAATGTCTGATAGAAATAGTGATAATAATTTACAATTACCAAGACAATTAATTCACCACTCCTCTAGTGGTCCTAGAGTTTGGAAAGTTTATTCTAGAAGGGGTAAAAAGGAAATTAGAGGCTGAGTTAGTTAACAATCATGAGCTGGCATGAAAGAGAGGAGCAGTACACTTCCACAATATAAGGAGCAGTCAGTAGAGGGAATAATCATCCTGGATTGTAGCTAGATCTGGAAGGAATGAATAGGATACTTTCCTATAGGAGCTTAGCTTTGGGCCCATTTTAGGATTGACAAAATTCCATTTTCTGTACCTTGTTTTCCATTTTCATCAATAAAGCTTCTTTTCCTCATTTTTTCATAATGCTACGTTGATTACTGCTCTGTTAGTTCGTATCAGTGTCTCAATTTAATATCAACAACACTACGAGAATAAGTCTATACTCGGGTCTTTGGAAATAGGAAACGAAAGCTAATAAAAAGTTCTTTGGTAATAGTGCAAGGCAAATAAAATACACATTCTTTATGTGATAGAAGCCAAAGTCAATAATAGGTATGTTAATGCTTTTGGAGAAGACTCCTCGGTCGAGCAATGACATCAACGACACAAACATATGAGTGAGAAAGGACACATTGCTTAGCTAGAAAGTAACATAAAGCTTCATTTCACTATAAGGTCCCAAATAGAAGACCAAATATTTTAGATTTGATGTATTTTAATGTTTGTAGTCCAATGACCACTAGTATTTATGGAGGTGCAAGGTATTTTGTTACCTTTATTGATGATCACTCAAAAAAAATTTGGGTATATGCCTTCAAAACAAAAGACCGAGTGTTTGTAGTATTAAAAAAGTTTCAAACTAGTGTTGAGCGAAAAACTTGCAGGAAGTTAAAATGTGTTTGTACTAGCAACAGAGGAGAATTTATAGGAGTTTTCAAACATTATTATACGAGTAATGAAATATGACATGAAAGATTTGTTTTGAAGACGCTTTAGCACAATAGAGTTGTTGAGAGAATGAACATAAATATGATCGAAAGATTGAGAACAATGTAATCATATGCCAAGTTACCCAAGAGTTTTTTAGGTGAGGCTTTGATGACTTCAATTGATTTGATAAACTTAAACCCTTTAACTCCGTTGAATTGTGATGTTCCATACAGGTTTTGGACATGTAAAGGTGTATCCTACAACCATTTGAAGGTGTTTGACCATAAATAATTTGTTCATGTTTCGAAAGATTATAGATTAAAACTCGACTTTAAGTTGAAAGAATACATCTTTTTAGGTTATAGAAATGAAGAATTCGAGTCCTGACTATGGGATCCTATTGATGAAAAGATTATTAGAAGTAAAGATGTTGTCTTCTTTAAAGACTAGAATATTGAAGATGTTATTACGGGAGATAAGCCAAATATTTCTAGAGAACCTCCAAACTTGGATCCAATTCGTCCTCTAGAGTATTATAGGAGAGATGAAATAGAAGATATTGGAGATGCAGAAAATGAACCTCAAATTAATAATGGTCCAACAAAAGTAGTAACAAATGGTAATAGAAACAATGGTGATGATGGAGACATGTTGAAGACTATGAGAATGAAGAACAAGAGTTCCAATTAAAAAGGCTGATAAGGATACCTTAATTGCAAATCAAATATCGTGCAACAGAATTTATGTTACTCTTTGATGATGGAGAAACAAAGTTTTATGAAGAAGTTATGAAGGATAGCCTCAAAGAGAAATGGTTGAAAGCCATGCAAGAAGAAATACTATCTTTGCGTGAGAACATGACATATAAGTTGGTAGATTTATCGAAAGATAAATGAGCACTAAAAAACAAATGGGTGTACAAGTTAAAGATTGAGCGAATAATTCACGACCTAGATACAAGCAAGATTAGTTGTGAAAAGCTTCAGTCAAAAGAAATACATTGACTTTGAATAGATTTTTTCATCCGTAGTAAAAATGTCATCAATTCAAGTAGTGCTTGGAGTAGCTAGATGTGATGGTTGTATTTCTTCATGGCGGTTTAGAAGAAGTTTACATGAAGCAACCAGTGGGATTCGTAGTCAAAGGCAAAGAAGAATTACTATCTCAGCTGAAAAAGAGTTTATATGAACTTTAGTAGGCACCACATCAATGTTATTTGATTCCTTCATGATTGATCACGAATATCGAAGGAGTACTTCAGATCATTATGTGTTTGTGAAGAGATTTGTTGAAGTCAAGTTCATCATACTACTTTTGTATGTTGATGATATGCTAATGGTAGAACAAAGTAGTGAGAAGATCAGCAAATTGAAGAATAATGAAATGAAGAAATATTTTGCTATGAAAGATTTGGGACCAGTAAAGCATATTATTGGCATGTCCATCCACTATAATTGGAAGAATCACAAGTTGTGGCTATCACAAGAAAAGTATATCGAAAAGATATTGAAGCGGTTTCATATGAAAAAGGCAAAGTCAATTATGTTTTCCATTTGCTGGTCACTTTGTTCTTAAATAATAGTCCTACAAGTGAAATTGAAAAGGAGGAAATGCACAAGGTGCATATGCCTCAGATGTTGGAAGCTTAATGTATGTGATGGTAGGCACACGCGCAAATATAACACATGCATTTGGTGTATTTTAATTAGTATCTTTTTCAACCATGTGGTGTCTCTAACGGAACCTTGGGTTATGTAAGGATTTGGCAAAATCACACTACATGATTTTTTTGAACTTTTAAACTTTAGTTTTTGCAACAAAAGAAAACCAGTGGTTCATGGTGATTCTCCTAATCTCGCTGCCAGTTCAAAAATGTGCTTTTCTTGTTTGGGTGCATTTTTTATTAAAATCAATTTTGTTTCAAAATGCAAGTTTAATAGAAAGAGATAAAACAACTTGTGTGCATTGCTAATTCTTTTGCTTGCATAATTAGGGCAGAGAAAGTGTTAAGATTGAACATGAAAGGAAACTGTCAGCTCTGCAGAATCAAGAATGCAAAGGAGGTAACGATGAAACAAAGGTAGACAGAACCAAGGCTACCATTACAAGGTTACAGTCCCTAATTATTGTAACATCTCAAGGTGTGTCTACTACCTCAGCTGCCATTAATGATCTTAGAGACTCTGATCTTGTTCCTCAGCTTGTTGAACTTTGTCACGGGTATGTCTTGATTATGCTAGTATTATTCTGCTGTTTTCAATTTTATCTTTGCTAATGATTATTTCATTAAGGATTCAAACTCAGATTCTTTCGTACTATTTGTCACTATCATCCATTTTAATTATTCTTTTATGTTTGTGATTTTGTAAAAAAATAGAATCATTTACATGTGGAGATCAATGCACCAGTACCATGAAACTCAAAGCAACATTGTACAGCAAGTCCGCGGCCTTGTGAACCGATCTTCAAAAGGTCACTCAACATCTGAATCACACAAACAGGCAACTAGAGATCTCGAATTAGCTTTGTCAGCTTGGCACTCAAGTTTTATCCGAATCATAAAATTTCAAAGAGACTTTATTCTATCTATACATGGATGGTTTAAGCTGAACCTTATTCCAGTCACAAATGACAACAACAACATCAAAAGCATTGAACCATCTGTTGCATTTTCCTTTTGTGATGAATGGAAACTAGCCCTCGACCGTGTTCCAGACACGGTTGCTTCAGAAGCAATCAAAAGCTTCATCAATGTTGTCCATGTGATATCTGTTAAGCAATCTCAAGAGCTCAAGATTAAAAAGAAAACCGACACTGCTTACAAGGAGCTTGAGAAAAAATCTTCATCTTTAAGAAACATAGAAAAGAAGTTTTACAATTCATATTCTATGGTTGGTATTGGAATAATTCCAAACTCTGTAGATCATATTGGACAAGGCTTGGATGCAAGAGACCCTCTTGCTGAGAAAAAATTGGAACTTGAAGCTTGTCAAAGACGCGTCGAAGATGAAAAAATGAAACATTCAAAAGCTGTTGAGGTTACTAGAGCCATGACACTTAACAATTTACAGACAGGTTTACCTGGGGTGTTTCAGGCATTGACAAGTTTTTCTTCTTTATTCATTGAGGCTCTTGAGTCAGTTTGTGACCGTTCATATGCCATCAAGTAGGTAATTTTATGATTTATGTAAATACTAAGAATTTTGTGATTATAGTTTTCCCTCTTGTGGGAAAAGAGATTGCCTCTTTTTGTTCTTGAATTGATGTGTGATTCATATAACCTAGAATGGTAACATTAAAAACTATATATCTCGATTCCAAGGCATGCTACCAATGTCGGTATTTGAAAGGTTCCACTATAGTCAAGGCATGAGTCCTAAACTAGAGTTTTGTCCAATGACAATATTTGATGATTCTAGACTAAAATTCCATAGCTTCTTTGCAGTCTCTTATAACATGCATTACAGAATCAGGTCCACCTTGACATAGCAAGTAACTACTATCAGTTGTTATATTGCATTTGTGTCTTCATCTGTCATTAGTCTACCACGAGAACTTTCCAAAGAAACAAGTGTATCTTGTTAGGTTCTCGATCTTTCAAATAATGTTAAACATGTTTTAAACAATATTATTTCGGGATTGATCTTTCCACCCTTATGTGTTCTCCTTCCTTCACTATTATGAAAATTTTCAAATGTTCCAAACATCTAAAGATACATATTTCAAATTCATATTTTTTTACGCACATTTCATCATAAATTATTGAGCCATCTTTATTTTACGGAAAAATTGAATGTCCCGAGATATATTTTAAGTGTTAGTTACCGTTTAAAGATTTAACTCAAATAGTGACTAATTTGAAAACGCTATTTTAGTTAACAGAAAATATTTTCCATTTATATAATTGTTATAGGTTAGTCAATTTTCGTAAAGTTTTTATTCATATTTTTTACCTCCTAAGGAGATTTTGATATAAATTCAATATATGATATTAGGATTATTTTGAATTTTTAAAATTGTGAGTAACCCTAGTATATTCTAGTAAACTATCTAACATTCAATTCACTTAAAGAGTAGTTAATAAATAAATATAAAATAATTATGTAATTCATATTATTTATATTTTTCAACAACTTATTTAAAAAAAACTTGTGTAAAAGTTAATAAATAAAAAATTAAAATGGTTGAATATAGTTTGTTAGTTACCTTGATATTTTATTTGCGTGTAATAAATGAGTTAGGAGATGTAACTCGGAACAAATTTTTTTATCAAAATGAAGCGGATCTTAGAATGACGCGTTATATTGTAATTTGAGTGTGTCCGAAAATGTATCTCCGAACGATAAAATATATTTTTAAATTTTTTAAGGTGGTGTGGCATGCCTATGTAAAAGTAAAAAGAGCAATTCTCTATTATTTTTTAATTTACAAAGGTGGTGTGGATGTAAGGGTAAAAAGAGCAACTCTCTATTGTTGTGCATTTCGCACCTTTAATACTTTTTAGTCACCACGCAAAATTATTTAAAAGCATCTAGTTTTCGGAGATTCATCTTCGGACGCACCAATTTTAAATGGACCAAAAATGTCATACAAAAATAAAATAGCAATATATATCAAAAATGTCGTACAATCGAGATCAATAATATAGTAAGATCGTCAAAATAAAGTACAAACCATAGTACTAAAACTATACAATAAGAGACTATTAATGTATGTGTTTGACAACCTCTCATCTACCTCTTTTGCCTCGTTTACCTTCTTTGTCATAAATTTCATGACGGTGTCTCCGGTACAACAATTTCTCCTGTGCCTCTGTCATGATGGCATCAAGGACTCTCCTGACATCAGACCCATCAAGGAAGATAACCGACTCAATATCTGCCTACGCAACCTCCACTATGCGATGACACCTATGTAAAACATCATCGATATGATCTAGTTATGCCGACTCATCCTCTAGTATCTTCTGATGAGCTGGTTTAGGCGGATCTCCTAGAGTAGCATGCACCATGTGCGAATATGACACTCTGAAGAACCATCTAATATACCCTTCGACGTGACTCCAGTCGCTTTCAGCTATTGTAGCTCATGCCTTCTCCGGTACCAGATAATTCTCATAATCATCAAACATCTCATATATTTGTCTACATGTCAAGGCAAGAGGAGCAGAGACAACAGAGTGTCAGAGAATGGTCTGAGTGTGGCCGAACTTCCGCTTGATGTGCTCGGGCAGATGAGGAGTAGTGAGACGCGATTTGGAGACCAATCTTCCATAGTATAGTATTATCTTGTCAAATGGTGGCGTCTGACGATGATCAACAAAGCTATTGAAGTGCATGTCCTCAACAACCAAACGGTAAAGATAGACTCTGAAAGGCTCGATTGCCTAATTCTCTCTAAGCAGGATAAAAGCAATAGCACATGGCATATCCTTAGTGTGCTCAGGTACACTCGCCCAACCAGAGATGTGCGAAAAGTGCTAGAGGATCCAAGCCTGAAATGAAGAGTTTGGAACACACGAATCACCGGTAATAGTTTTGAAAAAATGAAATGAAAATGAAAAAAAATATTCGAAGACAAATAATTATTACCGTCAGTAGTGTCACACTGCCTGTGACCTGCTTTGTCTTCCACATAAACCCCTCTCTCAACTTTGAATACATGTAGACCAAGCAAGTCGCCCCCCAGTTATACACATGGATCCGCTCAAAATCCACGAAGTACCGTAGGTAGACGACGTCATTATAAGTGACACATTTGTCTACAAAAATCATAGTGTCAACCAAATAAAGTAGGTATACTCTCAATGCATGTGATCCGTAGAGTACCACCTGCCCAGCATCACCATCAGCCTGTTGTGCACTCCAGATCTTAACCTCATATAGCTTCTTTAGGAATTTGAATTTAGCATGAGCACCCCTGGTCTTATCCAACTCCTATATCGCCTCCCATGGATTAGCCCCAAGATACTCTACCATCATATTGAGCGCCTCCTATTTGGCCATTCTCCCATGATCTAGGAATATCCCCCTTGATCATAAGATGTAACAAACATGAGATATCATCAAGTGTGATAGACATCTCATCATGTGGTGATGAAACAACGAGGTCTCTGAGTGTCGTATTTCTACGAATGCAATAAGCATCACGTGGTTGACCGTAGTGTAACCGATCATGCACAAGTTCTTCATACCAGATAAGGCCAGAACCGACTGAAACCAATCGTCATTCAGCTGAGGCAAGGCAGCAATCTTCTTCCCGTGATTAAGAAATTTTTGGGAATCACGCTCCTGAAAATTGTAAAAAATAATCAATGTTAGAAATTAAAATTAACGTAAAAAAAAAATAAAGAATCTTATTAATGCTACCTCTCTATCCCAAATATGTTTGGCAGTATGGTTTGGATACAGTGGCAGTAAGGACAAATCAACTGGACCTCCTCCAAAAGACTCTGGCTCGGGATCCACATCAACCTCGTCTTCAGGAGGTGACACTTCATCAACAGCATCATCAGTAGGAGGTGGTACAATAGGTGAGACTAGATCAGCAGCATAATCCGTAGAAGGTGGCACTGGTGAAACCTGTGTCAGCAGGAGGATGGGGGAATGATGCGTCAGATGGTGAATCTTGTCTCCTACAGAAAGAAGAAGAAGAAGAAGATGGAGTGACATGAGGAGAAACACGAGCCCTAGAAGTAAACGAATCTGCCTGACCAGAGGGACCAAGAGCCTTTGGAATCTGCTGATTCTTCTCTTGCCGAACGGAAGCGTGGTAAGCAACTCTACCATGTATCAGATTATCATGTTTATTCGTCATTATGCAAGTTAAAGTAAGGCAGACCATTAATGCAGGCAAATAAGCCATAAGCAAGAAAATTAATTTGAAAAACTCTGCAGAAAATGTCGGAGATACATATTTGCAACAAAGGTAAATTTAAAGCATTGAAAAATTCTGGAGATACATCTCCGGAATTTCCTGCAGATAATGAAACGTCGCGAAATTTCGGAATTGTATCTCCGAAATTTTCTGCAATTCTGAAGTCGCGTTATTGGCGTAATGTAGCACATAAAGTCAAAATAAATTGTTTTGATTATCATTTTCAGCCAACAAACAACTAATACACTATGTCTAAACTATCTTAAATGTGATTTCTACTCATTTCTAACTCTAGTCATTAATTTTTATTCATTTACACCAAAACTCAAACATTTATGAAAACTCGAAAAACTTACAAGAAATAGATGTTTTTTATGAAGTTGGGTGATGTTACAAATTAAGAATGATGTTCTCTTAAGTTCTCTTGAGCCTTGTTTTATGAAATTTGACTTGATGTAGAGAAGATATTTGAGAGAGGTTGAGAAAATTGTAAAATGAGTAAGAAGAAGAGTCTAACGCGACTTAATCTCCAAAATGTTTTGGAGATTCATCTCCAAAATATATTAATGTAATCTGACATTTTGGTGCGTCCAGATATGCATCTCTGAAAACTGGAAATATTTGTAAAAACTCGCGTGATGCAGTAAAAACCTATAGTGGTCGATAAGAAATTCACCTATTATTTGTTATCAACTAGGCTAGCAGGTCAGTTCAATTCAACTAATAAGATCGTTGGCCCGTGATAAAAAAAAATGTCTAAAACAACCTTTGAGAATTAAGAGACGTCAAAACAACCTTTGAGAATTAAGGGACGCCTCCCCACTTTTAATTTAGACATTTCCACCCTCCCCTGCACTTTTAAAAAAAGAAACATCACCGTCAATACAAATTAGATACAAATTATACACGGGTTTTGCTATCCCCACTTTTAATTTAGACATTTCCACCCTCCCCTGCACTTTTACATAAAGTGCATACCCAAGTATTTGTATTGCTGTATTTTCCCTGGTGTAAATTAACAAACATTTTATTTAAATTCAATTACAGTTTTGATCTTTAATAGATTTACGGAACTAATATCTCTATTTCAAATTCAAACCTTGTTTTGTTTATTTAATTTTTTGCATCGAAAACTAATGTGTGTATTTTTAAATAATGTATAACATACATTCTTTAATTTTAAATTTTTTAAAAATTATACATTTGACAAGTAATATGTCATTAAAAAATTAACACATAATCAATTTTAAGTAAAAAAATGTGAGAATGATCAAAACTATTTAAATTTGAAATATGAGACTAATTCTATGAATCATCTAAAATAGGGGACTAGTAGGGTTGGAAATGAGTCGAGTCAAGTCGAACTCACCTCAGTTCGGCTCGACTCGTTAAAAATTGTTCAAGTTCGAGTTCGAGTTTGAAACGAACTTTTTTTTAAGCTCAAACTCGACTCGTTATAAGTTCACGAACAGTTCGGTTCAACTCGTTAGGTTCATCTCATTAGGTTCAGCTCACATGATTCACGGACTTAAAAACTATATATATATATATATATATATATATATATATATATATATATATATATATATATATATATATATATATATATATATATATATATATATATATATATATATATATATATATATATATATATATATATATATATATATATATATATATATATATATATATATATATATATATATATATATATATATATATATATATATATATATATATATATATATATATATATATATATATATTTGACATTTTAAATAAATATATTTTTTTAAAATAAAATATTAAAATAAAATAAAAGTTATCATATTGAAATTTAATTTTATCTTTGAAATCTACTAATTCAAAACCTACACAACTTTCAAGAGATACATTTGAGAATCTAATTCAAAAACTACTAAATTGAAGAATAAATTTGTCTAAGATTTGGAGAAAATATTTAAACTTAATCTTAAAGACAGTATAATTCTTCTCATATGTAATCGAGTTAACTCATGAACCTAACGAGTCGAACTATGTATAGTTCAAGTTCAACTCATTTAGTTAACGAACTTAATTTTTCGCTCATACTCAACTCATTTGGTGCATGAACCTAGTTCAACGATTTAATTGTCGAATCGAATTCCGAACTATTTTCGAGTTAGTTTGGTTCATTGTCAGCCCTAGGGACTAGGAATGTAATTAAGTGTTTTATCTATTATATATAGGTAGGTTTAATGATAAATCCTCTTTAAAATAGTTTTAATATAAATCATTTACGTCTAAGCCTCTCTTGATTATTTGGCATAAAGCATTTCTGGAGTACTCTCCATGTTTGTAACGGTTAGAATATACTATAACATTACAAGTCTAATGATTGTGCAATATAAATTTCTTCAAGCTTAATTGGTATACTACTTTTCTATCAGAATTTTATTACTCCTACATGACAGCAAGTTTCATATGGGCTGTCAGTGTCGCAACTCTTCCTTTTGCAGCATTCAGAAACAATAATGTCTTCATAGGGACAAATAATGGGACATAGTGAACAGTGACAAAGCTATATAAAGACTGTCTGCAGTCAGAAGTCTAAATCATTTTGATAAGTATTGGTTCATCACTATGCAGAGAATCTATAATACTCCATGAAAGAGCAAAGGTTCTAGAGGGGACCAAATAAAAACCATGAAAAGTAGTGATCATGTCACTAAAATGGAAAGCATGCTTCAGTGGATTATGGTCCTCGTTTTACTTTTATCACTTGTTCAAATCTTCTTTCTTCATATTTATTCAATTATTTGATACTTATCATCATCATCAGAAAACTTGTCCAAAAATGAATGAAGATTAATAATTCTAATATTTTGTATAGGAACACTTCATTATGGATTTATTACCCATAAGTATTCTAGGATAAGACAAGGAGATTCAACCTAATCTAAACTTAAGATATCATATTTGAATATTTCCAAATGAAATGGAATTTCACTACTAAGCAGGTAAGCTGAACTAACATGGTAATACTGAGCAGCTGCTGCAAAATAACTGATTATGGCAAATACAATAACAAAGAAGATTGTGGAATCCAAATTAAAAGAACTCAAAATCCAGATATTTACCCCCAGGCTTCATTTCATTATTACCTGACATCCTCTTACTAGTACTGCCAAACCCAACAGCATCAATTGCTGGTCCAACCTTCATTGGTGGTGGTGGCGGTGGTTCATTTTCCACTGGTCTTGGTACTTCTGGTGGTGTGCTGCACCTAATCAATGCCCAGTTCACGCCTTCAAAGAAAGGATGCTGCTTGATCTCAGTTGCACCTCTTTTAACCCCGAGACGATGCTGTGGCTCCTTCACCAGCAAGCCGCGGATCAGATCCCTGCTAGCATAACTGGTTGCGGGAGACTCAGGAAATTTGAGCTGCTGACCTACTACATTGAAAAGCGTAGCACGGTTTCCTGACCCTTTGAAAGGGGTTTTGCCATATAATAATTCATGCAAGAATATTCCAAATGTCCACCAATCAACTGCACTTCCATGACCTTCACCTTTGATAATTTCAGGAGCAAGGTATTCGTGGGTACCGACAAAGGACATAGATCGAGCAGCAGTAGGCTCAGCTACAAGCTCGGGAAGTCTGCTGGAAGGAAACCCAGGTTCAGCTCTTGGCTTTCTTGATTTCTTGTTTTTCTGCGGAAAGAGGCGAGGAATAAAGCATGCAGGTTGTATGCATACTGATGATGGCTCAATACAAGCAGGTTGAACACAGAATGCACCACCAGCCCGTTTTGAAGGGTCGCCATCAAAAGCTCTAATAAGAGTTGGCAAAACAGTACATCTGAGGGAAAGATCAAAATCTGAGAGCATTATGTGACCATCATCTCGGACCAACACGTTTTCAGGTTTAAGGTCTCTGTACACAACTCCAAGCATGTGAAGATATTCAAGAGCAAGCAGTACCTCAGCAGCATAAAAGCTACATGGAGAGAAAATGAGAGTGTAAATCTTTATGATTTAAAAATCACAAATGCAAAAATGCTACATTATGATAGCAAACTGTACAGATGTTTCAGATATTTTCATATGCTTAATATTTCAAAAAGATATAACTCTTTTTGTCATCAACATGGTTTGCGTATAACACTGCCTATTTTGAAAATGGCACTACCTATATAGGAACATACAAAAACACTACCATTTATCTGGTCTAGATATATTTTTGTGAAAAGCAAAAATAGAATTAAATCAATGACACTGGAACATGTGCACAAATACAAAAAATTGAGAAATATTCCCTATATGACAATGCGGAGGAAAAACAGATTTTCATGAGGGGAAAGCAAGCAACAAAGATCAGGTAAAGGAATGTAACTGTGTACACATAAAACACATACCGCGCAGCATATTCAGAGAAATGTTTCCCAGGTTGTCGCTGCCTTAGAGTGTGCAGGTCACCCCCAGGACAATATTCCATTACCAAACAGGAGAAACGGTCAGTCTCAAAATGTGTATACAAAGTTGGAAGAAATGGATGGTCTAGCAACTGCAATATCTCTCTTTCTGTCTGTGCTCTAGTTAGCTTCTTTCTGCTTGCTAAGGATGCCTTATCCATAACTTTCATTGCAAAATAACACCGAGTTCCACTCAGCTCTGAAAGATATACACTTCCAATGTCACCACATCCAAGTCGTTTGAGTAATCGAAAATGACTCATGCCCAAAATTCCATCCCGTAATCGAACAGCAAGAATAGCATTCCACCTGGGATCATTTCCTTTGTGAGGCTTATTGGCACTACCAGTAAGGTTGCTCCAGTTACTGTCATCACTGAGGCCACTGCTATCGCTTGCACGGCTCGCACTAGTTTTTGCACTCTCAAGTGAATCACCCCTTACACTACCCTTAATGCTATCAAAGTTCCTATCTAAACTAAGCATGCCATCACTGGTGACTGCATCGCTCCGATATGTACTAGCACAACTATTAGCAATGCTCATTGCCTTGACAACACCAATACTATCGATACTACTATGTGGACTGACATCACCACTAGGAGTAGGAGGCAAAGAAGCATCCCAAACACATTCCTTTTCCTCAGAATCCGGTGCAAGTAGAGAGTTCTCAGTATTCTGAGATGCTCGAGAACCAGCAAAGGGGGAGGATAAGTTCCCCGTGTCGTTTAGTTCTTCACCTAGACTTCCTTGAGGGGAAAGAACAATTGGACTTGGTTTCTTCGCAGGAACACGGATCGAGAGATCTTCTAGGAAAGGGCCCTTCATGGATAAGTTCTTAAGTAAGCATCCAGCCTCAGATTTGTTTTGACCTATCGGTACATAAACTGTTCTCATAAGATCCGTATCAACAGGCTCCGGAGGATGACTAGCACCAGCAAATAAACTCGGATCACCTTCCTCAAACGAATCGCTGCTTCCTTTCAACGTGTCTACGTCATACATCAGATCTTCTCCTTCTAGAAAAGACGAATTTCCTTTCCATGTTCTAGTAGGCTCAAAGGAGATAGACTCCGGCGACTCTCTAGTATCAAACTCCATATCATCTCTAACCAATAGTATCCGTGCATTCGACAACTGCGCGACTTCTCTAATCGAAGCCAAACGTGTCATAGGCACGTCCCTTGCCTGCGACAATTGATTCAATTCTCTAGCTGAAATCCACCTAGCATTCGAAATCTCATGCCCGTTTATCCTCGGAACCGTCTCTCTCGCAGTTCCCGTATTCGGCGAAACCTCAACCAAAATAGGCAAGTTTCTTGGAAGTACCTTCTGCTCTGAAAACCTCTCCATAAGTCTATATTTCACATAACATAATCATCAAATAAAAGCTTATAATCAAGAACAACCTGCAAAAAAAAAAAAATAGAACGGATACTTTATCCATCACGAACATCAATTACTTTAACATACATTTCAACAGACATGAAGATGAAATATGAACATAACACATAATACAAAACCCTTAAGTCTTAACACAAACACCTCAACTAGGAAAGTATCAACAAAAAAAAGCTATATATTGATAGAAACATGAATCTAGAAAAACAAAAAGTGAAGAAATGGGAAAATGCAAGATACAACATAATAGCATTGCTTGAAAATATTAACATAGATCTCTAAGTTTCAAAAAAACGAGGAGAAGGAAAAGGGGAAGAAAACAAACCTAGAATTGAAATGAAATTGAAATTGAAATTGAAATGAAGAAGTAAATTGACAGAATGTTTGTAATTTTGAGTCACACTGAATGAAGAGAAGTGTTGTTGTTGTTGTTGTTGATGGTTTATTATGTTTACTACAGCTTTTGCTTTTTATTCTTTTATAAATTTATTTTCATGTCAAAATATAATAATAATAATTAAATTATTTATTTTTGTGGCTGTTGCTTTTGAATGGAAAAGGGGAAAATGTGGGGTCGAGATTAGGTGTGGGACCCACGGTGTTGGTTCTTTTTCTTTTGAAATTGAAAGCAGAGAGTGTGTTTCTTTCTATCTCTGCTAAAAGCCGTTTTCTTTGAATTTTATTGAATCATTTTGGATTGGTTTTTCAAAATGGCGCGTGTTTTTTCAACTCCCCTCCATCGCGTTGCGTTTATTTTTTATGTGTTCTTTTTTTTGATAATCTGTTTTTATAATTAGCTTCATCAATAAAATATAATTTATGGCTTCTAGATAGATATATAAGTCAATTCATTGGCATTATTAGCATGGGTTAAGAAATTAGGTAGCTTAAACACACTTAATTTTTTTTTACTTTAATGATTTTTTCTCAATAATATTTCTATTACATTTATAATTAAGAAATATTAACTTTGACGGCTAAGATTTGTGATTTTATTCATAATGATACTTGAATTTGTACGTGATAAAGAATAGTTTAACCTTTAGCTAAAATGCAAATCTATTTATTTATAAAGCTTTTTCTAATTTAAATATTTTCCTTTGAAAACTCCAAACTAGATGGTTTAATCAACTTTATTTAAGTGGGTCAAAAAATCGACTTTATTTAATTAAACTTTCATTTTATTGTTTCACATATGCATGAAAAATACTTGTATTGATAGTTTGACGTGGTTTTTGATTATGATAGGATAATTTACAAAGTTGTATTTGGAAGGAATTCTACATAAACAAATGTGGATTGCTTTTTTTATCTTTCATTCAGATTTTTGTTTTATATGCATTGTACTTTGTATTAGTATATTTGTGAAGGTCTTCTGAGATGACGTGGAGACATTTACTTATTCTTTTATTAGATATTTTTTTCTTCCTCTAAGATAAGTCTCTCCATGTGGAAATTAGTGATTGACTTATCTTTATCCTGTAATTGCATCGAAGAAGTCGTGATGGAGGTAGACCACATTCCAGTGAATATCAAGAAACAAACTATACATTTCCTAAATGGTTGCTATTTTTAAGGAAGTCATGAATCCAGGCTCAGTGCCGCTATAAATACCCCAACATTATGGTTAAGAGACAAGCTAACTCAAATACAAAAATACATACATATATAACTTCTCACTAATACACGAGTTAGCTCTCAACTCCATAATAGACCTTAAAGCCTTCATACACTTTTAACCACTAGGGGTTGTCACTCATTTGTACTTTTAACAAGTATAATTGGCACCCATTGTCGAACTCGGTAAAATTGATTTAGGCCACCATAACATCACCCTACTAGATTATTTCCCTTTTAATCAATCCATATGGCTCTCATGGGGAACAAAAAGACAACAAGTTCAGCCAGTGGTGAGTGTGTTGTTATGGACGACTTTCGTAGCCATAACCAAACTCTAGAGGATAGCATCCTACATATATAGTCGCGCCGATAAGAGATAGACTTGGTGGAGGAATTTGAGGTGTTGGATCCCTAACTTTTATCATATGAGATATGTGAGGTGCCCGTCCTAGAAAACTTTAAGTTATTATCATTGGCTAAATTTGACGGGTGCAGCAACCCGTTTGAACATATCGCCTCCATAAATACTCAAATGGCCATTATTGGAGCACGTGACTCTTTGAAATGCAAACTTCTATTTGGAACCTTTAGAGACACCACTTCGAGGTGGTATATGGGCCTCCCCAAGCTCTCTGTCACCAGTTATTAGGATTTGGTTAAGAAGTTAGTCCATTAATTTGCCACATGCTGGCGTAAAAAGATGATCGTGTAACAATCAAGATGGTTCATCCTAACTATGAGATGTTCGTATGAGCGTTTTAGAATGGGCATGTGGCAAGACATTTTAATGAATCGCTCACTCAGAGACCTGATGCGCCCTTGGCTGAAGTGGTGGCTCGGGCGGAATGTTACATCAAGGGTGAGGAGAGTAATGCTAAGAAGAATGCATAGGAGACAATATGTGTTGCCCATACAGAATAAAATAGCATTCAATTGAAATGGAAATCTCGTCGAAAGCTTGACTCCCTTGAACTGCCATGAAAAAATATGGTGAGAGGTTTCACATATGCATAACATTCTCAAGTCTTCAACTCCCATGATAGACATCATGGGGCCAAATTCCCACAATTGATGCAAGCTCTACAAGATCAAATGACATTAAATAGAGGACATCTACTAGCTCAAAAAGAAAATATAACATCTCATCCAATAGGTGCACTTGGAGGAATACATCAATAGCATATATGTCTAGGGATCATGTGAGTCTAATCCTCAAGGACGAGATTTCTCAGGTAGTCTAGGGTCCAAGAAGTGGAAGGAGTCAAGCAAGGGAGACAATGATATGTTTGTTTTCCATACTCTTAACACCGTCGTATGAGGATTCGCCAGAGGCAGGGATACCTATTCCACCTATAAGACATATGCTCGCCAAATCCTAGCCACTAATGGTTCGCCCACTAACTTTGAGGCAAGCGAATCAAAAGCTCTAAAAGGTCGAGATCACTTTTTCCAAGAAAGACGTAACTAACAGTCACCTGTACAATAATTATCCCATGGTTATCAGTGTTCGATGCGGTGATTTGGAGATCAAAAGAGTCTTGAGCGACTAAGGTAGCTCTGCGAACATCCTCGATTGGGATTAATTTGAGAGGCTTCACTTATATTTATATTACCTCAATCCCTTATAAGGACCATTGGTGGGGTTTTCACGTGAGCCAGTGCATGTGACAGATTATATAACACTAAAGATGACCTTTAGGGCAAAAGAAAATGCCAGACAAGTTAAGGTAAGATATCTAATCATTTATGTGTCCTCCTTATATACTATGATCATAAGGGCAACTTGCATTTAAATAGATGAGAGGTGGCCTATCTACCTTGGATCTATGTATGAAGTACTCAAACCTAGATGGACAAGTGAGAGTTATACCAGGGGCTAAGGGATTGCTAGAAAGTGCTATATGGAAAGCCTGAATATGAAGATCAAAGTAATATGCGTGAACGTCGTAGGCATGGAGACAGAGGAAAAGTCGCTAAAGGAGACTCCCATTGAGGGGGATTGACCATTCCAGAATGGGCAACCATGAGGGTCGCAGGAAAGGATTTCTTGGAAAGTGATATTTGTTAGGGCGATAAGCCTCATTTAATTCAGTTTGTTAGCATAGATAATAACAATTGGACAAGAGCAAATACAAGAAAATCCCTTAAAGGCAATATTCATCATTACAAAAAGATCCATTTGGACTAACCACTAGGGGCAAAACGACAAAGTCAGGAAAAAGAAAAAAGTGAAAGAGCCTTCGATTCAATAACCCTCTTCAGGAGCCAGCCTTTCCGCTAGCGTTCCCTCTGAACAAACCATATTTAAATCAACATCCTTCGCCACCCAATCTCCCTTAGGGTGGGTATCCTTGGTAGGAAAGATGGCATTTTGGGCAGGCTAGGAATCACAAGTGTTGTTCACTAGTTGGCTGCCACAAACAACTTTGAACACATTCAGGGGCTAAAATCCAGCGCAGGAAAGTCCTTGAGGAAAGGAAGAAAGACGCTTGTAAAACTAATGGCATCAAAATCATGATCACTCAGATGGCAATCCTCTCTTTGGAGACAATGTAGGGGCGTTTTCCCCTATACAATAATCACTATGGTCGCGTTACCCTTAGGAGAAGAGCCCCCCCCCCCCCCCGGCCGCTTCTGGATATTTGGGGTCTGATACCCAGTAAGTGTCTCACCCTTAAGTTATCATTTGACCCCCTAGTTAGCAAACCTTCAAGGCGACTCTGAGGGTTATCCAATCTTGAATGTTGAGCTTTCTGCATGTCAGACACTCATTCATCTCGTCCAAAGGGATTTTGGATATCTTCTCTACAATAAAAAAAGGAATAATCAACAGATTAATGTAAGTATCAACTAGGGATGCAACACGCAGAGTTTGGGAAGGGTACTATAATACTCATCCCCACACCTGCGATTTGAAAAAATTCTCGTACCCGAGCTCATACCCGCATGGGCGCCAAAGTTAGCACCTGTACCCTAACCCTGTGGGTATGTAAGTATCCATACCCGTACCCGTTACCCACATTCCTATTAAAAATAAACAAATCAATTATAAAATATCATATCATTTTAAGTTTTTAAAAACATCAATAAGTTTTCAAAAAAATTTATTGTTGAAATAAACGAGCACTTATGTTAAACATGTAATGGTTTAACATTGATGTACTTTTTAAAATTGATAGACATATATTTTTATGTAATAATATAAATTAAAATACATAAATATATTGTGTGGGTATGGGGCGGGGTGGTTACTAAGGTGCCCATAGCCGCTTATTTTTGTGGGTAGTTACCCGAGCCCGTGCTCGTACCAATTTTTGCGTGTTTTTACCTTA